GCCTCTAGCAGATGCTCCATCGTCGCCAGAGCATTGACTTAACGTGCATTACCAAACTTACCTTACCTAACGGGCATACAGTACCCTGTAACAGCCATTTATTTTGGGTATGTATCGTCATTATGTTTTCCACGCTGACAGTACCTGTGCTGTGGATCACATTTTGTACGTTGGTTATGTGGGTTTTTTTTTATGTTAGATGTCCACGATAGTTTCTTTGCTGTGGATCTCTTTGTTTGTTTTCTTCATGAGGCTAGCCAGACGTTAATTTTCTATCCGAGCTAACAGTTCCTGTGCTGTGGATATCCGTTTTGTTAGCCTGTCTTTTCACCTGTCCATCCTCATGCTCCTGCTCTCCTGAGTTCCGTCGTCAGTTTGTTATACCCGTTTGTCCTGGTCTCCTCCTCCATCTCTGCCCTGCTTTGGTTACCTACTGTATGTACATGGACCTTGTTATGTTGTTTTGTTCCATTAAACCTCCGTTTTTCTACTAGCACCTGGGTCAGCACACTTCCCTCGTCAGGCTGTGATCTTTTGGGTACCAATGTGCAGTCTGTTATATCCCTCGTCCAAGAATTTCTGACTCATGTAAATGTAATCTGACATAGTGACCATTGTATCAGACAAAAATTGTGCAGGCATATCTCCACAACCACAGATTTATTTCAGACTTGGAGCATCATCAGTCCCTCCCTACATTGACTCAAGGGACATCACTTGAAGAAACTGATCACACTTAACAAAGCTCCCTCTGAAAACAAAAGGCTTTACACAACTACTTCCACATTTACTGTAGTACTTCTTTGTAACAGACTTTGATGTTTAAAAGCTGTGGAGTTCCTCTTTAACAAATAATTACTACGGATGTTTGTTTCTCCTTAACATTACTTTTTTGAGCTGATTTGAAACCAAGTTTTTAGGGGTTTTAAGTAAAACTGGAAAAAAAGACCCCAGTGCCTTATAATAACCTTTCTCTGTCTGTGCCCATGACAACTGGACAATTTAGTCTGGGCTCTCACTGCTTGCCAGCAGCTAATGGGAAGACATAAATGGCCCAACTGCTGTGGGTAGAAGTGCCATTAGGTGATTATCACACTGGTCTCCTGCAGACAGAAGGCGACCTGGTATTTAACTCTTAATGGCACAGATCTGCAGGCAGATGTATAAACAGTGCATATGCACAAAAAACTTGCAGACTGCATTTCATACACATAGACTTGTATTTACTGTATAAAACAACTACATGCTGTGAAAATGTGAGCATCTCATGTACTGTATACGTAAGGCCAGTTAGTCTCACATGTTAGTCAAGAATGAAACATCAAAACAACTGCCATGAAATTTGATACCAACATTCATGTTGCCCTAAAATGCTTATAGCCCCCCAGCTTAGCCGCCATGTGTTGGAGTTTACCCCGGTGAACGAGAGGGTCGCTTCCCTGCGCCTTCGGGTCGGGGATAGGTCTCTCACTGTCATTTGTGCCTACGGACCGAATGGCAGTGTAGAGTACCCGGCCTTCTTGGAGTCTCTGGGAGGGGTGCTGTTTGTTCTACTGGGCGACGACAGTGATACCTGGAGGGGCATGATTGGGAGGAAAGGCCCCCCCCGATCTGAACCTGAGCAGTGTTCTGTTACTGGACGTCTGTGCTAGTCACAGTTTGTCCATAACAAACACCATGTTCAAGCATAAGGGTGTCCATCAGTGCACGTGGCACCAGGACACCCTAGGCCGGAGGTCAATAATCGACTTTGTGGTTGTTTCATCTGACCTCTGGCCGTATGTCTTGGCCACTGGGGTGGAGAGAGGGGCGGAGCTGTCAACTGATCACCACCTGGTGGTGAGTTGGATCTGATGGCGGGGAATGAAGCTGGACAGACTCGGCTGACCTAAATGTATTGTGAGGGTCTGTTGGGAACGTTTGGCAGAATCCCCTGTCAGAGAGATCTTCAACTCCCGCCTCCGGCAGGGTTTTGACCAGATCCTGGGAGAGGTTGGAGACATTGAGTCCGAGTGGACCATATTCTCCACCTCCATTGTCGATGCGGCGGTTCGAAGCTGTGGCCGTAATGTCTCCGGTGCTTGTTGTAGTGGATCTTCTATGAAAGAATCTCTCCTGACATTTTTTTTTTCTTTTTAGCAAACTTTCACTCTAACTCTCACCACAGTGAGCCACTCACCCATAAGGTTCCTCCTTACCTCTTTCTTACAGCATTAATATTACCAGAGAGGTGGTGGATGCAAAAACTCGGGTCTGGGAGAATTTCGGTGAGGCCATGGACAGGGACTATCGGTCAGCATTGAAGAAATTCTGGCAAACCGTCCGGCGCCTCAGGAGGAGGAAGCAGTGCCCTGCCAAAACTGTTTACAGTGGAGGTGGGCAGTTGTTGACCTTGACTGGGGATATCGTCAGATGGTGGAAGGAATACTTCGAGGATCTCCTCAACCCCAGTGTCATGTCTTCCGATGAGGAAGCAGAGGCCGGGGGCTTGGAGGTG